AGCCCTCTTGGTGGAAAAAAAAACATCTGTTTTCAGTCCTACTTGAGAGAACATACTCTCCAACACTATATCTGTGATTGTCCTGTTATCAGTGACTTCACAGCAAATGGTATGAGGTATTTTGAGCTCTGTAATTACTTCATACACTCAGGAATATTGGAAGATATTCTTGTGCTGCACCCAGATTTTGCCAGTGGAGGCTAATAGATCAGCATTAAGTATTTTGTTCTCTCCTAATTCCATGTATGACTGGCCATCCTGTGAGGTGAGGATGTTGGGTGAGCTGATAGCTGGTTTTTGATCTACACTGTGTGGTCCTTTATACAGAATAGGAAAGCAGCACATTGCTGTGTATACCTAAACATGTTTAAAAATACATTGTTTGAGAGGAGTTTTGTAGAAACTGGTAAGAGTAATTATAATATAATGTTTCCATGATTCAGTGCTTACCTCTTGTGAAAATTGCTTAGAGTTGTTTAGTCAGAGTTGATTTGTTTTTTGTATTGAGGCTGGTATTTTCTAAATTGATTCCATGTACTGTACAGTATGTCTAACCATCCTGTGAGATGGGAGTATTAGATAAACTTATAGCTAGTTTTTTATCTACAGTGTGTAATATTCCATATATAATAGGGTAGCAGCACATTGCTGTGTATACCTAATTAATCTTCTTAATAAAAAAAATCAGTAATAAAGATTTTAAATTATAGTTTGTATTATTACAAATACAGTACTGTATTATCCTTATTAAATCATGTTGACCATGGATCATTAAGATCTCATGTTGATATGTAATACAAGTCATATTTCTTTTGAACTGCTAATCCATGCTAATCATTCATTAAATTGTGCATTATGTCTCAATTTTTCACTTCCTTGGATATACTGTACAGTACAAAAAGATAGGATAAAAATAAACCAGTAATATTTCTTTCATTATATTTTTCATTTAAGTAACTGCATCAATATTTTTACAGCTGACAGGATTTGTTTTACCATACAGGTGCATTATTTGTTAAAAAAAATTTGGTTTATTGTTACACACAATGGTGCTACATAGCCTTCCCAGCTTGGTGCCTTCTTTTAATACTTACTGATTAAAAAATAAATAATAAATACATTTTATTCAGGAAAAGTACATACAGTTGATTTACAAACATAATGTTGGATTTATAGACAGAGCTAGTACATACAATACCTAAAGCCACTAATACTCATAGCATTTCGGGCAAGGTGTGGGGGGAAAAAACACAGACAAACTTAGTAATCGGGATTAGGTATAAATTGTGTTGAAAGAAGGAATAAAAAATACAAAAAGGGGGGTTAGCATAACTCAGCAATTGCACATGTTGGTGAACAGCGTTGTTTAAAAAATAGCAAGACATGGGTTGACATTTAGGAGGTAAGTTAGGTTACATGGAGTTAATTAGGCAGTACTTGGTTTAACTCTTAAACTGGTTGAGAGAGGTACAGCCATTGACATGATTCGGGAGGTCATTCCACATTCTGGGTCCCTTGATTTGTAGAGCACTTCTAGTTTGGTTACACACAGCCAAATTGAGTAACAGGAAGAGGTCTTGGACACAAATTTGTTCCATGCTAAATGTAGAGGAATCAGCTGAGTATTCCTCAAATAAAATAAGTTGCCTCAGCTTATAAGGTAAATAAAATAAGCATTTCTCAAATAAGTAGCTGCCTTACTGCTACATAGCCTTCCCGGCATGGTGCCTTATTTTGATAATTACTTGTTCCACACCCAAATTGTATAACAGGAAGAGGTTTTGGACCCCTACTTCCCTCTCTCTTTGTTAATAATCTACAGTATATAGTCATAAAGCTATAATTAAGTATTCAATGAATAAAGTTTGTGACATTTTTACCCTTCTCCTTACCTAACATCATTTGTGCAGCATATTTTTATTTTATGTCTCACCCAGATTTAATTTCAAAATAAAACCAAAGTAAATAAAATTAGAAATGGGTATGTATAGCTAAGGTACACCCTTACTACTAGGTGAACAGGGGCATTTGGTGATAGTAAATGATCCCATCAGGCAGGGCTCATCACCTTCTCTCATATTTCATGTTCACCAGTGTTTATTTACTTAATAACTACTGGTATAATATCTTGCTATTATAAAACTAATTCTACTATCATCAAACACATATTTACTTCAAGTTTCAAGCAGAGAATGCATATATAACTAACACGAAGGATTCCTCTTCACTAGATTCACCAGCTATAATATTTTGGTCATGTTCCAATATCATAAATCGATCCCAGTGTTACGTAGTAGAGAAAAAATGACTTATATCCAGTTTACGTAAAGCTACGAGTGGTCGAAACCACACTTAAATCCCGGAATGAACTTACGAAGGTTTTTCCACTTAGGGTAGCTCTTTGAATATGGACGTAGCCACCACGAAGGCGCTAAGAAGGAATTCGCTCTTAGCTAAGAGGAAAAACCTTCGTAAGTACCTTCCTGAATCCGGCCCCGGGCCTCCACCCCCAGGAAGCAGCCCGTGACAGCTGACTAACACCCAGGTACCTATTTTACTGCTAGGTAACAGGGGCATAGAGTGAAAGAAACTCTGCCCATTGTTTCTCACCGGCGCCCGAGATCGAACCCGGGACCACAGGATCACAGTTCCAGCGTGCTGTCCGCTCGGTCGACCGGCTCCGGCTAGGTGAGCACTGTTCTGACCTGAGGGGTTTGGGATTAATGGAACTTAAACCTGCAAAGAGAGCTCTGATTGTTGCACCAGACTGTTACTTGCGTACAGGCGGACAACTTCACCCAACCACTCTCTGCCAGAAGAGACAACCGACCTCGGCAGCCAGACTCCCGCTACCGTCCGTCGACTAGCAATGATCTGGAGTGCTTGAAATTTTCTCAGGAGATCACCCTGTACGCCTCTTGATCTTGGAGAGGGGTTCAGCATCACGCATCACATATCTAGGGGTGCGACTCCAACACTGGCGTCGTTGTCCTCTGTACTCACCCTACTTGAGCCGCCATGACTCCCCACTCTCTCCTTGTTTGGAATGATCTCTTAAATTCCCCTGTTACAAATTAGTATTCTCTACCACCCTGTCCACAGCTGTGATCCTTTCTCTCTCTCTCTCTCGTGCATTCTGGGAAGTCTCACCAGGACAAGAACAAAAGTCAGCTAACAGTACACATTTAATGAACAAAAGAACATACACAATACATGATAAAACAAGATGAAATATTAAAGTACAACACTCTAAGCTGCTACAACCTGGAACCAATTCAATATCATATCCTGGCTTCACCAACCGTTCATGTCAAGTGGCTGCTCAACACTTGGCTTACCACTTACCACTCCCTCACTAAATGGGGATTGCAATATCGTCACAACACTATTGTATAATCAGCTTTTAAAGTATATAAAACTCAGCCGGTGGCTGAAACATTTCCATAAATATTCCCCAACACAAAAAGACATCAATCTCTCACCTTACACTAAGTCTTACACGCCAATAAGCATTCAAGCACTTCCCTTATACATCATGTGTGATCACCGTGTTCTCTTCTGCTCCTGGAGGTTCACTACCATGTATATCTCTAGGTCCTCCAAAATAGTCAACAAGACTCTTCTGCAGTCCTCCGAAACTGCTACACAATGAAGTTCTCCTCAAACACCAGTAGTGCTTCACCACTGATCCCACAGAAACACAAGAAACTCCACTTCACTCCTCTACACTACTTGAGGCCAACTCCTCACTATGAGTATCTGCTCTCCCACAGTTCAGCATTCACTCCTCCAGCCTCAAAGTTCCATTAATTTCTTCCCAAACAAACCTGCAGTTCCATTGTCATGCCAATAAAAATGTTTCCCAACTAAAACATAATTAAATGTATTCACAGAAAAATAAAACTCCACGATCCGACATCTCTTTAAACTCTAACACGCCTCGATGGTCCTCCCCCATCTGGGCGAATCTATTTGCGACATTGCTGACAGCCGCCCCCCTCCCCCCGGTGGCGAGGCTCCCTCATTCAGTCAGCCACTAGCGTCCTGAGATGGTGGACGTATCACTCCGCCCTCCAGGATGTTCCTCTATCTCTACTCTCTTATTTCAGCTCACTGCCTCAATGTATTATCTATCCAACATACACATATGTCCATTATGATCGCTGGCCACACGATCAAACACTTGTGGCTAAAGTAACAACTGATTGAGTAGGGTCACCCCTGAAATTTCTGATGTGAGGACGCTCACTCACTGAAGTTCAACATGGGGCTCACATAGGCCGCCCACCAAAATGCTTCAGGACTGCTTCACAAAGATTCCTGCAGTCCACGACTTGAGTCCACACCGTTTCCAGACCGGTTCCGCAACAGAAGCGTCTGCTCATTTCCTTCCTCTTGAAGGTACAACAACTATAGTTTCCCCAAGGCGCGGCCAAACACTCACTTCCAGGCCGCCTCTAATTATCAAATTCACAAGAATACTGGAGTGAAGAATACTTGCAGACAAGTATTCTTCACTCCAGCACTAACACAGAGGACTATGTTCTTCCTCATTACAGGAGATCAGCACAGTACATCCACCTCTGATGACAGTTGCGACTCATGTGAGGTCAAGATGTCCTGCGAACCTCACATCATGTCAGCATAATATCGACATCTCATGTCATGTCAGTTATTTACATGTTCATCCTCTGCCAAAACTATTCACTGACATTCGCCAAGTATTTAATATATATATATTCACATATCTATACTTCCTCTGACCTCTCAGTCAGGTCCAGTTTGCCGAATATCTCTCATTGGTTTAGATTCGTTCTTCAGGCTACCTGGGGTCGTAACAGTACACACAATATATTTAATGCCATTTCAAACATGAAACAGGTTCATGGTTTCATGGTTCCTCATGAAACAGATACAGCTGACACTCTCCCGGCATCGTTCTCAACGGGTATCAAAAGTGGAGAAAATATTAATATATAACATTGCAATTTTTGCAACAGATGGCGACCCGGAGTGTCTCGCAGCATAGTGCAGATGTCGTGTCGAGTGTGTGATGAGGGCGACCAGGTGCTCGAGGCCCTCACACTCAACCATGTCACCTTACATATCATCTCCAAGTTCAAGGTTAACATGAATGGACCGAATAAGAAGAAGAGTGCTGAAATGGCTGCAAAGTTGATTGGATTTGACGAGAAGGTCGTCTTTACCCCCAAAGGTAAACATCACGTTCCCTCCGTGTAGGTCTTACACACCACTGTTTCTTGTGTAGGTCAAGCATGGCAGGTGCTGAGGAAGTTTGTTGTTTGATCTTATACTTCAAGTGTGACGTTGTACAGTTTGTTAATTTATGACTTGGTACACTTTGTTCATGAGTGCCATGATATAGTTAATTAATGTGTCATGATCCAGGTAGATAATGTCTGTCATGGTACAGTCAGGTACTGTGTGCCATGGTACAGTTAATTAATGTCATGGTACAGATAGGTAATGTGTGTCATGGTACAGTTAGGTAATGTGTGTCATGGTACAGTTAGGTAATGTGTGCCATGGTACAGTTAGGTAATGTGTCATGGTACAGTTAATTAATGTGTGCCATGGTACAGTCAGGTACTGTGTGCCATGGTACAGTTAGGTAATGTGTCATGGTACAGTTAATTAATGTGTGCCATGGTACAGTCAGGTACTGTGTGCCATGGTACAGTTAATTAATGTCATGGTACAGTTAGGTAATGTATGCCATGGTACAGTTAGGTAATGTGTGTCATGGTACAGTTAGGTAATGTATGCCATGGTACAGTTAGGTAATGTATGCCATGGTACAGTTAGGTAATGTATGCCATGGTACAGTTAGGTAATGTGTGCCATGGTACAGTTAGGTAATGTATGCCATGGTACAGTTAGGTACTGTGTTCCATGGTACAGTTAGGTAATGTATGCCATGGTACAGTTAGGTAATGTATGCCATGGTACAGTTAGGTAATGTGTGTCATGGTACAGTTAGGTAATGTGTGCCATGGTACAGTTAATTAATGTCATGTCATGGTACAGTTAGGTAATGTGTGCCATGGTACAGTTAGGTAATGTGTGTCATGGTACAGTTAGGTAATGTGTGCCATGGTACAGTTAATTAATGTCATGTCATGGTACAGTTAGGTAATGTGTGCCATGGTACAGTTAGGTACTGTGTTCCATGGTACAGTTAGGTAATGTGTGTCATGGTACAGTTAAGAGCGCTCTGATCACCAAGTATGTTGAAATCTTAAGTTGAAATCAGAATTGCCTGATCAGAGAGGCTTGTGTGCTCACCAACGGCTGTAGTACAGAACCTGACCTCTGTTAACATATGCCATGTTATGTCCTCTTGTGTTTGGTTATCGTCCTATGTAACCTTACACAACAGTGCGAGGACAGCGTCGAGCTCGATATCATACTGATATGTTTATATTCATTATTTTCTAAGAGCTCGAAACATTTTTAAATATTTATAAGCGAGTATAACTTTTAATGAATGTTCTTAAATGGCAGTTACTAGTTTTGGGTTGTGTTAAATAATACCATCATATATTGAGGTGATGTAATACTTTAAACCAAACTCTTCAACCATTCATTAATTGGGTCATCCAAAGCGTTTATAGATTTTAAATATAACATAGTTATAATTACATTATGTCTGCAAAAATAATAAATATTATAATCATTATCTACCTGAGGAGAGTGTCTCAAACACGCCTATCTACCTGAGGAGAGTGTCTCAAACACGCCTCACGAGACCAATGGTCGCCGTAGTGGAAATGATGATAAAACTGCTTACATTATGTAACCTGACAAGTATTATTTTATTCGTTATATTTAGACCCCCTCTAACCTATCTTCCCCCCCCCTCTCTCCCCCCCCACCTCGCATCCCCCTCCCTACTCCCTTGCTCCCATCCCCCCTAACCCAATACCCCTCCCCGGCCCAATCCTCATCCCCCCATCCCCCATCTCTCCCAATCTTCCCCCCTCCATCCCATTCCGTCCCCATCTTCCTCCCCCGCACCCACCCTCTCCCCCTCGTCAGTTGCCCTAATCTTCCCTAAACATTCCAAATGAGTCTTTTTATAATGAAATAGATTTAAGAGTGACATTGACGGTTGTGTGACTGTGACTGACAGATCTGAAGACGTTCACTGGTAGTGAGAAGCTGCGAGGAGTTCTGCAGGTGCCTGAGGGCTCCTGTGTGGCGGCCGCCCAGGCCTCCGGCGGCTCTGTCTTCAACAGTAATAAATGGATCACCAAGAACAACGTGAGTGGTCCATATTGTTGTATTTATTACCTGCCGGAAACACCTTGGCCTGTGTACAGGGGCGGGGTTGTGTCAGGACGCATGTACACTTGGCAGCTTTAATTTACGAGTCAGTTTGTTACGAGACTGACTTGATACGAGTCAACTTTCATGGTATAATGTCATCAATAGATCTTAAATATAAGAAAGAATCGGTTGCTTCAACTCGTTGCATACAAATGGGTGATATGCTTATGTTAAACCCCATTTATTATAACACAAAAATAGGAACAAGAATTAAATTTTTAACAGATAATATAAATACAAAACTGGGGAATAAAATGGGCATCGGATATTTCTCATATCTTTGTTGCACAGACACATTGCAATGCTTCTGTTGTATTAGGTCTTACAAAAATGTTCATCTTGGTACAGAAAAGACATCAACTAGACATGTCATGGTGGCAGCCGCTGACGTGCAGCAAGTCCAGTCACTCTGTCAAACATATCTCAACATACGAATAATATTTATTTATTTATTTGTTATTTATCTCTATACAAGAAGGTACACTGGGTTGTGAGAGAACATGACATTGATGTTCCTACAGTCTTGCACAGCCACTAACACGCTTAGCGTATCAGGCAGGTCCTTAATCTTACAAATGAGGTAATGTACATTACCATAGGCACACTGTAGCAAAATTGAGTTAACATAATAACTACAGTATAAATTAATGGAAATGATTACACCGGTGAAGTTACATGTCTTAAGTACTAATATTGTGGGAGTGGGGGAGCACACGATACAGTGTGAGTTTGGAGCACACGGTAGGAAACTATGAGGATGAAATTAGGTACTTTTTGGTCTTTTTATTCGTTAGGGAGCGAGTACCATAGACTGGGTCCTTTTTATTAGCATGGAGTGTTTGCACATATTTAGTCTGACTCTGGTGATATCAAAGACATATTTATTTCTGGTGTGGTGCTCATGGGTTCTATTAAACCTATCAAGGAAACTTTTCAGATCAGGATTAGAATTTAGGAACAAAGTTTTGTACATGTAAATAGCACATAAGAATGTGTGGAGAGAAATGTTTAGCATGTTAAGGGACTTAAATACAAGGGCTGTGTGTTGATTGAAGACAGAGTTTGTTATTATCCTGATAGCAGATTTTTGCTGGATGATGATCGGCTTGAAGTACTTTGCAGTGGTTGAACTCCATGTACAGATACCGCAAGTAAGATAGGGATAGATTAGTGAGTAGTATAATGAGAGAAGAGCAGAGTGGAGACCATAATATTTTATTTTAAAGAGTATACCGACGGCTTTTTATACTTTTTTTGGCTATATGTTGTATGTGGGTGCTGAAGTTGAGTTTCTTGTCTGTGTATAAGCCAAGGAACTTTCCAGCATTTTTATTGCTAATGCTAACATTGTTTATCTGAAGTTGAACTTGGTTTGATGATTTAATTCCAATATTAGGTCTTTTAGTAGTAGGTCTTTTATATGTTTAGTGTGAGGTTATTAGTTGACATCCATAAGTGTTTTTTTGTTAATTCATTATTTACAATATTATTCAGTATGTGTGGGGTTGGGGGTCTGAATAGTTGAAGGTAGTATCGTCAGCAAATATTATATGTTTAAGAATGTTAGAGACATTGCACTAATAATTTATATATATAAGAAATAGGAGAGGCCCTAAGATGCTGCCCTGTGGCACTCCTACCGTAAATATTAGAGTGGGGGAGATTATGCTATTGATGGCTACATATTGGTGTCTGTGACTGAGATAGGAACGAATATAGTTTAGGGCAAGGCCTCGGATACCATTGCAATGAAGTTAAGTAAAAGGTAGCTATGGTTTGCAGTATCATAGGTCTTTCTCAAGTCAATGAAAAGGCCAATTGGAAACTCATTTTTATCAAGGGCTGTGTAGATTATATCAAGCAGATAATGATGGCATCATTGTTACTCTTTTTTGGGGAACGGAAGCCAAATTGGCAGTGACTTAAAATATTAAATTTTACAAAGTAGGAGTAGAGCCGTTTTTAAATATATTTTTTCAAATATTTTTATAGTATCGGTAGATTTTATATTGTTCTGTAATTATTTATGTCAGCTGTCTCGCATTCTTTACGAAGTGGCGTTACTCTTGCTTTTTAAGGATATCAGAAAAAGTTTGACACTTTAGAGCTTTGCTGAATAGCAGAGTTATGGGTAGAGTTAGGTAATGTACCTAACAAGAGAGACACTAGTTACATTGTACCTAATGTAACAATAGCAAGAGAGCAAGGGCAGCACTCATGTATACCATAGATGGTATTTCACTAATGTCCCCAGCTTTGGTTTTAAGTGATTGAATTATGGATATAATGTCTGTCGGGCTGACTGGTAAAAGGAGTAGAGAGTTAGGAAAGCTGCCGGTGAGATATGTACTAACATGTGTCGTGAGACACATGTAGTCTCTGGTGTGGAATTTCTTTTAACTTCTGACTCCCTAAATAAGGAACTAGGAAACTGTTGTTTTCTTTTTGGGGGGTAGTGGACTGTATTTATTCTGTGTTCCCTAACTGGCTCAGTTTTCAGAGAATCCAACAGAAATGGGGCTGTTTTCATTTACCTGTTGATGAGAAAATCTACACTTACCACTTGGTAAAAGAGAATATGTATAATACAGCTAGCACTGATACGGTTACATTATTTTAGCCAATTCTTTTAATTTGGCATCTTGCTACATATGAATCATTATAAACAATGACAAGATTATGTAATAATATGAATTTATCTGTTGCGTATGTATACTTTAATTTGTCTTTAAGTAATTCACTTACTGAGGTTGTGGCAGAGTATTGGTTACTCTGTGTAGGGAAGGATGTGAGCGTCACCGCTGTGGTGACGGTGTACACACACACACACAGTGTGTGTGTGTGTGTGTGTACATACACCGTCACCACATTATTCAGGGCTGTGAAGGTTTCAGTGACTACATAGCAGGTACCATAACAAATGGAGGGAAAAAAATTATAGTCGTAGTCGTATATAATCCACCACCAAATGACAGAAGACCTAGACAGGAATATGATAGAAACAACATGGCCACCATTAGCATAATAGAAAGAGCAGCTTCTGTTGCTAGCAGGAATGGATCTGGACTACTAATTATGGGAGACTTCAACCATGGGAAGATAGATTGGAAGAACAGAGACCCGCATGGAGGACCAGAAACATGGAGGGCTAAGCTGCTGGACGTGGCAACAAGAAACTTTCTAAGCCAGCACATCACAGAACCAACAAGAATGAGAGGAGAAGATGAACCAGCAATGCTTGATTTGATATTTACCCTAAATGAGTGTGATATAAGGGAAGTTAAGATGGAAGCGCCCTTGGGAATGAGTGACCACAGTGTATTGAACTTTGAGTACCTGGTAGAGCTAGGAATTATCTCCCCCAAAAAAGAACTAGGAATCAAAAGGCTGGCATACCGAAAGGGGAATTATGAACAGATGAGAAGTTTCCTAAGTGAAATACCTTGGGACACAGACCTCAGAGATAAGTCTGTACAGGGTATGATGGACTATGTTACCCAAAAGTGTCAGGAGGCAGTAAACAGGTTCATCCCGGCCCAAAGGGAAAAATCCAAGACGCAACAGAAGAATTCATGGTATAATAGGGCATGTATGGAAGCGAAGAAACTGAACAAGAGGGCATGGAGGAACTTCCGGAATAGCAGAACACCAGAAAGCAGAGAGAGATACCAGAGAACCAGGAATGAGTACGTCAGGGTGAGAAGAGAAGCAGAGAAAAGTTTTGAAAATGATATAGCAAACAAAGCCAAGACCGAACCAAAGCTACTCCACAGTCACATCAGAAGGAAAACAACAGTGAAAGAACAGGTATTGAAACTTAGAACAGGCGAGGACAGGTATACAGATAATGACAGAGAGGTGTGTGAAGAACTCAACAAGAGGTTCCAGGAGGTCTTCACAATAGAACAAGGTGAGGTCACTGTGCTAGGAGAAAGGGAGGTAAACCAGGCGGCCTTGGAAGAGTTCGAAATTACGAGAGACGAGGTCAAGAGACACCTGCTGGATCTGGATGTTAGAAAGGCTGTTGGTCCAGACGGGATCTCACCATGGATACTGAAAGAGTTTGCAGAGGCACTTTGCTTGCCACTCTCCATAGTGTATAGTAAGTCACTGGAGACGGGAGACCTACCAGAAATATGGAAGACGGCGAATGTGGTCCCAATATACAAAAAGGGCGACAGGCAAGAGGCACTGAACTACAGGCCAGTGTCCTTGACTTGTATACCATGCAAGGTGATGGAGAAGATCGTGAGAAAAAACCTGGTAACACATCTGGAGAGAAGGGACTTCGTGACAAATCGCCAACATGGGTTCAGGGAGGGTAAATCTTGCCTTACAGGCTTGATAGAATTCTACGATCAGGTGACAAAGATTAAGCAAGAAAGAGAGGGCTGGGCGGACTGCATTTTCTTGGATTGTCGGAAAGCCTTTGACACAGTACCGCATTATAGGCTGGTATATAAGCTTGAGAGACAGGCAGGTGTAGCTGGTAAGGTGCTCCAGTGGATAAGGGAGTACCTAAGCAATAGGAAGCAGAGAGTTACGGTGAGGGGTGAGACCTCCGATTGGCGTGAAGTCACCAGTGGAGTCCCACAGGGCTCTGTACTCGGTCCTATCTTGTTTCTGATATATGTAAATGATCTCCCGGAGGGTATCGATTCATTTCTCTCAATGTTTGCGGACGATGCTAAAATTATGAGAAGGATTAAAACAGAAGAGGACTGTTTGAGGCTTCAAGAAGACCTAGACAAGCTGAAGGAATGGTCGAACAAATGGTAGTTAGAGTTTAACCCAACCAAACGTAATGTAATGAAGATAGGTGTAGGGAGCAGGAGGTCAGATACAAGGTATCATCTGGGAGAGGAAATTCTTCAGGAGTCAGAGAAAGAAAAAGACTTGGGGGTTGATATCACGCCAGACCTGTCTCCTGCAGC